CATTTCTGCCCATTCTGAACACATTCCAACCGTCAGATTCATGCCAGGACACCTCGTTTTCCTAACCCTAACCCTACCCTGGTGCACACCCCTAACCCTAATACAGGGCTAAAGTTCCATTGAAAAGAGGGCAAATTTGAAAAAGCCCTCCTTGATTAGCTTTTCCTGACTGCTCATCATTTCTGCCCATTCTAAACACATTCCAACCATCAGATTTATGCCAGGACACCTCCGTTTTGTAACCCTAACCCTACCCTGGTGCACACCCCTAACCCTAATATGGGGCTACGGCTTCATTGAAAAGAGGGTGATTCTGCAAAAGCCTTCCTTGAGTAGTTTTTTCTGCACTGCTCATGATTTTTGCCCATTCTAAACACATTCCAATGATCAAAAGCATGCCAGGACACCTCGTTTGCCTAACTCTAATATAGGGCTAAAGTTCCATTAAAAAGAGAGCAATTTTGAAAAAGCCTTCTATGAGCAGCTTTTTCTGCACAACTCAACATCTGTGCCCATTTTAAACAGATTCCAACCATCAGAACCATGCCAGGACACCGCCTTTTTGTAACCCTAAACAAGTGATGCGAACCCTTCAGAGGCCGGGTGCCCAAACTGCAACCCAAAACCCAGTTATTTATCGCAAAGTGCCAACACTTCAATAAAATCTGAAAACTGAGATTTTAGTTTAGAAAAAACACCTCACAGCCAGTCCAGACAAATATAAAAATATCCTTGGCAACGCACTGACCGGCCATGTGAATGCTCGGACGAGTCGCGGCTAATGAGTCGTGGCTCGTGAGGTCACCTGGCTGCACGTCTCCTTTCCGAGCATGCGCATGGCCCCTGTGTGTGCTGTCATCCGATGCTCAGCTGCTGGGGCGATGCTGGGGCGACTTCGCTTGCGTGCCAACAGAGAGGACTCTGCGTGCTCGCTGAGGCTCACGTGCCATAGGTTTGCCACCACTGGTTTAGTTTATTTGAGAAAGGGTGGGAGGGGAACGTTCCAGGTCCGTCCCTACTCCATCTCCGCCGAAAAGGAGCAGTCGCTCCGTTTCGCTGTTCCTGCAACCTGGGGCCCAAAGCAAGCTGCAGAGGATGGAAGGAGCAGAGGATGGTAGCTCAGCGCTCGCTCAGGTGCTGATGGCCCAAGGCAGCCGCGGCCCGGCCTCCCAAGAGCAGGGTGCCAGCGCTCTCTGAGGCTCTGTGAACAGTCACTGGACCCACACGTCCCCCAGGAGGTTTGCATCATTATTCCAGCCAATGGCTGGAGGACAGGACTCGAGCTGTATATAATCTGCACGGACTGAAAACCCAATGAAAAAGGCCAGTGATGCCGGCAGTTTCGAAATTGCCTAGGATCAGGCTGGCCCAGAAGCAGCCTTTTCTCCTGTGAACTGGCTCCAGCTCCCAGAGGAGCCTCCAGAGCCAACCCTGTTCTCTGGCTGATATTGGGCAGACTGGGGCTCTTTGCCCTGGTGGGTCTTTGCCCCAGTGGCTCCAAGACTGCGGAACAGGCCCCCTCCCTGGAGCGCCACCAGCCTCCCTCACCCCTTCACCTTTGGCCGTCCACTGAAGGTCTCTTCTAGCAGGTTTTAACCTTTAAACTAAGTTTTAACGGTTTGCTACTTTAAGATAATTATTCTCAAAATCTGTATCATTGTTAAGTGTTGCTATTTTGTTTGCTATTTGGTTATGGCAATTTGAACTGTAATTCTTTTGCAGCACTTGATTTTACCCACTAAGCCATTTTGACAAAGTATGATAGAAATTAACGTGAACTGCTAAAAAGCAGAGTTCCAGGATGTCCCGATCTGGAAGGAGCTGCCCTTGGAGCCTGAAGGATGCTGATTTGCCCGTGGATTTTATTTGCAGGTGGGGGTAGAGGAAAGAAGGCCAGACCCCTCGCCACCCACACAGGAGGAATTAATGTAATTTCATGAAATGTTCACAAACAGCCCAAGTGCTCAGGCACAAAGGGCCAATGGAAGAAGCAAGTCTCCGAAGCGGGTACTTGAGGCCTGAATGTTTACTAAAACTTTCAGTAAATGAAGGCGTATAGGCCTTCAACGATTTTCAAAAGTTATTGGGTGACTCCACAAGGCACACAGGAGTCCTGTCCGTTATGGCTTCTCATGCTCTTCCAAAAGCAGCAGCATTTCAAAATGCAGATGGAGGCCAAAGAAGCACAGCACCTTCTCTGTCCTGCCATTGCACAGCTTCAGCTGGTTCTCAAGGCAGGGCCTGTGACGTGCTGGGCAGCGGCGACGGGGGAAGAGTGTCAGTGCAAAGGCCAGCAGATCCCGGCTTTTTTCCTCGAAAGAGCCCAAGGGGGCTGGCATGGTCGTCCTCCCCTCCCTTTCGCCTGACAGAAACCCCTTGCGGGAGAGCGAGCGGAGGATGAGTGGTGGGCCCAAAGGCATCCAGCTAGCTTCACGTGGGGCCCAGGACCAAATCCCACCCAAGCACTGCACCCTGCTGCCTCTCGGGCACCTGACGGCTTTTCCATCCATGAAACATTTGCATCTGGTACCCCCGCCCCAGAGCCTGAAGGCCGCCCTTGCGCAACGGCTGAGCAGGGCAGGGGAGGTCGCAGCAGAAAGCCGCCGCCGCCTTCGTGGCGAGGGATCCGGGCCGCGCTCCCCGGGGCCCTGGCTGCCGCTCCTTGTAGCAGCCAGTCTTCACCGTACGGATCTCTCTCCACTAGCATCTGCCCACATGAGTCATTCAGTCTCCGACTCACAGATGCAATTGGAAGAAGCTAGTACTCCGGTAATAGATTTCTTTCGAAACTTACATCCTCCTCCTTGGTCAAATCAAACTCTCGAGAGCTATCCTTGAAGACGGCCACATGGTGAGGGCCTTCGCTGAGAGTGACCTACATCCAGAGGGGAGAAAGGCACGTCTGATTACCGTATGAGCAAAGCAGTCCTTTCGAGGGGGGACCTTTCCCAACAGATCCCTGGAGGCCTTGGCTCCCCACCCCGTCTCAATGCAGCTACCTTCACAGGCGACCGCGTCATCATTTCTCCGGAGCCTCGAGGGAAGATCCGGGCCTGGGCGATCATTTCGAGCACACTGGTTTTCCCAGCACTCTGGTCTCCAACCACTACGACCTTAATGGAAAATATTCAGTCACTGCCTTTTAAAAGGAACCAAAGCGCTTTTTTCAGTTGGGACAAAGTGCACGTTTTGCTAGTCACCCCCAGATTCAAATCAGGCAAAGCCTCCTTTACTTTTCGGAGGAAACGGAACCTTCCGAAGATCTACTTTTTAGTTATAGTGCTGAACTAGGTCAGGTGCTGCCCGGCGTGGTTCAGAATCTAAATGGGTGTTTTGAACAATGCCAGAACCTGAGGGTGAGGGTGCAGAATCAGCCAGGGGCCAGCACCAAGCGCTGGCCTGTGCCCACTTCCTGGAGCTGCGGGAAGGCTCAGGCCTGCTGCACTGAAGGGTGGCGGGCCCGGGGTTCTCGCTTTGCGGCCCCTCCCCGTGGGCTGGGGACTTCATGCTACGAAGTGATATGGGCGATGGTCTGGCTCAGGACTGGTGGAACCAGCAGCCTAGAGAAGGTCATGGAGCACTGTGTTCCATTCTGGGCCCCTCATTACAAGAGGGATATCGCCAGGTTGGAAGCAGCGCAGCGAAGGGCCACTAGGAGGGTGGCTGGTTTGCAGGGGAAGCCATATGAGGCGAGACTGGGGGAGCTGGGCCTTTTCAGCCTTGAGAGGAGGAGACTCCGAGGGGATCTGTTAGCAATATGCAGGTATGTGAGGGGGTGCCATGCAGAGGCGGGTCAGGACCTTTCTTCCCTTGAGGAGGAGGGCAGGATGCATTCAATGGAGCAAAGCTCAGGGAACCACGATTTAGGGTGGATGCCAGGAAGCGCTTCCTGACGGTCAGGACCCCCAGGGTGTGGAACGGGCTCCCACGGGAGGTCGCTGAGGCCCCATCGGTGCGGGTGTTCAAGGACAGGCTGGACATGCCCATGGTGGGCATGTCGTGAGTGGAGCCTGCTGGAGCCGGGGGTCAGACTAGATGGCCCAGGAGGCCCCTTTCTCCGTCATCCTTTGTTCTTATCATACCTGTTATGTGTTTACGGATTGCCTTGACTGCCCACAGAGCTCTGGCTACTGGATGATACAGAAATGAAATGCACGGCAACAAGGCATACGCCATTCCTCTTGCTCACAGCAGCACGGCAGCCATGCCAGCCTGACCTGGAAAGACCAGTTTGGGAAAACGCGGCGCTTACTTACCCGAGGTAGATGATCGTGGGTGTTGTAGCTGGCATCGTAATCTGACAGCGTGTCCAGGACTTCAGAATACATATCAATCAGGGATTTCTGAGGAGGAAAGACCTGAAGTTAGCCCGGGGAACTGAGCCAAAGCCAAGCACAAGGAAGCCCTCTGGCAGCCTTGGAGGATGGGCTACTGCGTGCTCACTTACCTCTGGAGTCTACTCTCCAAAGACCACTTAGGAAGGACACAGTCATGAGTGTTACCATGAGCAGCAGTACTCTATTACTATTACTGCCGCGCTCCCTGTAAGCCAGGCCCTTCCCTCTTGAAAGGAACCCAAGGCGGGAAACCGCTTCATGAATGAAAGGTCCTGCGGCGGAGCCTGTGGTCCCACCCAGTCGGACACCCCACGGCAGAATGACCAGAGGAAATCAGACCACAGCCAGGCTCGACCCTGTCAGTCTGGAATTCAAGGCTGGTCCCAGAAGGATGAGCAGTGATACTCCGGAAAGCGTGGTGGTAAATTTCCAGCGTGTACAACTTGGAAATGTTTTGTGTGCAGTACCTTCAGCTTCCTCTGATGAATGCCCTTGTCATCCTTCTGCAGAACGATCTTTCTTAGCTCTTTGTTCTCCTTTTCCAACCGCTCAAGCATCCTTTGGTATTTCAGCTGCAAAACAGGGTGGGGAGAGGAGGATGGTGAGAAAAACCTGGGCTGCTCTCTCTGTTCGCAGATCACTGCACTCTCCCGAAGAGCCCTCTGTAGCAATATGGTTACCAAATGCTCTAACACAGGAGAGACTCTGAAAACACTGGCTGTGACTGCAGAGAAAAGGTCATTCCAATTACATTTTTAAAACAGTGATTCAGGTAAATCACAGCCAGGTCCGGGCAGTTCTGCAGTGAGGAGAAAATAGACAATGCATTTGAGTCTAGCAGTGCTGGTAAATGTAAAAAACAGTGTGAAAGGTCCTGGGGATCTTACAGTCTAAAAATGGACATGGAAGAAAAAGGAAGGCAGTGGAAGAATGGGGAGAACAGGGTGGGATATAAATTCCTATAAGAAGCAAACAACAACCCCTTGAGCTTCTTATTTATTTATTTATTTATTAAAACATTTTTCTTCAAGTTTATTATTATTATTATTGTTGTTGTTGTTGTTGTTGTTAAAAAGTATATACCACTTCCTGGCACAAAAAGGAGTCTTGACGTGACTTATTATTATTATTATTATTATTATTATTATTATTATTATTATTATAACATTTCTATGCCGCCCCTTGCCGAAACCTCGGGGCGGCTTACAACATGATAAAATACATTGAAATACAATAGTACATAATAAAATTACCATTAAATATAACAATACAAAAAATACATTGATTTACAAATACAAAATTAAAATTATCAGTATAAAATAAAAATATAGGAGGAGAAAGAGAAGGAAGAAGAAGTTGCCCAGGCCAGATCATATGTTTTAACAATTGAAATGATGTTTAAATAAAAAGGTCTTTACCTGGCGCCGAAAAACCAGTAACGACGGTGCCAGGCGGACCTCTTTGGGGAGTGAATTCCATAGGTTGGGCGCCACCGCAGAGAAAGCCCTCCTCCAGGTACTTACTCTCCTAATTTCTTTCATGGAGGGTTCCCGGAGAAGGGACTCTCCCGCAGATCTCAAAGGGCGGTCGGGCATATACGGACGTAAGCGCTCGTTCAGGTAGCCAGGACCCAAGCCGTTTAGGGCTTTGTAGGTCATAATCAACACCTTGAATTGGGCCCGGGCTTCAATGGGAAGCCAGTGAAGCTGATGGAGGACTGGAGTCATGTGAGCATAACGCCCCGTCCCCGTCAGCAACCTGGCAGCTCTATTTTGCACCAATTGAAGTGTTCGGACTGTCTTCAGGGGAAGCCCCACGTAAAGCGCGTTACAGAAGTCTAGGCGGGAAGTCACCAGCGCGTGTGTCACCGTCGCCAGGCAGTCGTATTCCAGGTAGGGGCGCAGCTGATTAATCAGCCGAAGCTGAAGGAAGGCGTTCCTCGCTACCGCTGTCACCTGAGCTTCCAAAGAAAGCTCCGGGTCGAGGAGTACACCTAAGCTGCGGACCTTATCCCTAAGAGGGAGTGTTGCACCATTCAGGACCAGGTCAAATCCACCCTCTCCGAAACCCGATCCGCCAACCAACAGGACCTCCGTCTTGTCTGGGTTGAGTTTCAGTTTATTGGCCCTCATCCATTCCCTTACCTCGGCCAAGCACCGGTTCAGCACAGCCACTGCCTCACCTGGATTAGTGGAGAATGAGAGGTAAAGCTGGGTATCATCAGCGTATTGATGATTCCGCAGCCCACACCTCCTGATGACCTCTCCCAGCGGTTTCATATAGATGTTAAATAGCAGAGGGGATAGAATGGAGCCCTGTGGTACCCCATGGCATAGCTGCCATGACGTAGAGACATGGTCCCCCAGCACTACCTTCTGGAATCGACCGTCGAGATAGGAGCGGAACCACTGCAAAGCAGTGCCTCCAACCCCCAATCCCGCAAGTCTATCCAGAAGGATACCATGGTCGATGGTATCGAAAGCCGCCGAGAGGTCCAGAAGAACCAACAGGGATGTACTCCCCCTGTCCTTCTCCCTGCACAGGTCGTCGTACAGGGCGACCAAGGCAGATTCAGTACTGTACCCGGGTCTGAAGCCGGACTGAAAAGGATCCAGATAATCAGTTTCCTCCAAGAGTGCTTGGAGTTGTCCCGCCACCACTCGCTCCAGCACCTTGCCCAGAAACGGGATGTTGGCCACAGGTCTATAGTTAGTGGCCATCTCTGGATCCAGTGACGCTTTCTTCAGGACCGGTCGTATTACCGCCTCCTTTAAAGGGGCAGGCACTCGACCCTCCCTCAGAGAAGCGTTAACCACTTCCAAAATCCAGGTCCCAATCCCGTGCTTGGAGTTATTTATTAACCAAGACGGGCAAGGATCCAATAGGCACATGGTGGGACGTACTCTTCCAAGCACCTTGCCCACATCATTGGGCCGCAATAATTGAAATTCCTCCAGTAATTTTGGACCAGACGGTGGCATTGGCGACTCCTCAGAGACCTCTGATTCATTAGTGGAGTCCAGCTCGTGACGAATCTGAGCGATTTTCTCCCTGAAATGCCTGGCAAAGTCGTCACAGCGGGCCTTTGAGGGTGGCATCGGATCTTCCTTAGGACCCAGGCGAACCAGGCCTTGCACCACTCGAAAAAGCTCCGCTGGACGGCATTGTGAGGAGGCAATGGAAGCAGAAAAAAACTTCTTTTTCGCCTTCACCGCAACAGCATAGGCCCGATAGTGGGCTCTCAAGTGTGTTCGGTCAGATTCATCCCGTGATTTCCTCCACCTACGCTCTAGCCGTCTCCCAACTCGCTTCATCGCCCGTAATTCAGGTGTATACCAAGGGGAAGAGCGGACTCTGCCCGGTGGGAGAGGACGCTTAGGAGCGATTGTGTCCACAGCCCTGGTCATCTCTCCGTTCCACAGTTCGACCAGAGCCTCGACAGGAGCACCAGTCTTGTCAGCCGGAAATTCCCCCAGGGCCCCCAGGAATCCATCCGGATCCATCCGGCTCCGGGGGCGGGCCCATACAATCGGGTCCGCACTCTTATAGAGGGAGAGGCCGCTCTCGAGCACAAACCTCACCAGGAGGTGATCTGACCATGACAGGGGAGTCAAACATAAGTTCTTCACCCTCAGGTCATCCTCTACCTGCCCCGTCGTGAATACCAGGTCCAGAGTGTGTCCACGTTCATGGGTAGGGCCAGTGACGTGTTGAGACAGGCCCATGGCCGTCATAGAGGCCATGAAGTCCTGAGCCGCCCCGGTCAGTCCAGACTCGGCATGGAGATTGAAGTCCCCCAGGACCAACATCCTGGGGGTCCTCAACACCAGATCCGAGACGGTCTCTGTCAGCTCAGATAGGGAGACTGCTGGGCAGAAAGGTGCACGGTACACCAATAGAATCCCCAATCTGTCTCGTTCGCCCAACACCAAGTAGAGGCACTCCAGCCCTGGTCTCAAAGGGACCGGAAGACCCGTGAGAGAGATGGAGGCTCTGTAAACCAACGCGACTCCCCCTCCCCTCCCTTCTGGGCGTGAACAGTGTTGAACCAGATACCCGGGCGGGCACAAGTGGGAGAGGGCAACATCCCCTCCCTCTCCCGCCCAGGTCTCCGTTATGCAAGCCAGGTCAGCCCCCTCATCCACAATCAAGTCATGGATGAGGGAAGATTTATTATTGATCGACCTGGCATTGAGCAGCAGCACTGTCAGACCCGAGGGGTGGTTGACAAGGCTACCTGGCGCCCTCTGGTTGGGGGCAGGATCAGAAGGAGGGACAGGTGTCAGCCATCTGTCCATCCTTCTTCTACGTGGACACGTTAAGCCCCTATTGTTGTAACGACCATTACAACACGTTACACATTAAGCCCCTATTGTTGTAACGACTTACACACACCATACAAAAATCCATGATTAAAACAAGGAAAAAATCACAAGCCATAATCAGCACAATACAGAAACATAAGTAACATAAAATCCTAACCTAAAAACAATACAATGCAATGTGTCCATCCACAAATACACAGTCTTCCTCGCTGACTGCAGGGTTTGCTCTAACTGGGGCTTAGCTCAGGCCCAAATGTTCAGCTTTTGCTGGAACGACAACAGCACAGGCACCACGAAGCTCCCCCAGGGAGAAGGTTCCACAGGCACAGGGCCAGGGCGGGAAAACCCACTCCGGGGCTGACGTCACTCAGCTGCTCTCCAGGGACCCTCAGGAAAGCGCCTCTGACACTGACTGACAGGAACTGGAGAGGTTCCCATGGGGAGAGGTGGTCCTTCAAACATTGGGATCATGAGTCAGGTGGGCTGCTGTATCAGCTAAAAGAGGCACTTTGATTTGGCTCAGAAGCAAGCAAACTGGCCAAGAGCACAGGCGAGCTGGAACGGGGCTTCTGGTTCATACCGCCTAGGCCCAGCCCACAGCCTGAAGACCAAAATCTGCAGTTGCCGACCGTTTTCAAAGGCAGCCCGGCACAAAAGACGCTGACTTTACCCAGAGGTGTCCAGAGCACAGACCACAGATGCTGGGCTGCCCCATCCACTCAGGGCTGTGCCTGGCCTACCAGCTGATGCCCCCCCCCCACCCACAATAGCGACGGATCCTGGGGTGCCCCTCAGCGGTGCCCAGCTGCTTCAGGAGGCGGTGCATCACTGCCCCCGGGCAGCGGGTGGCTTCTCTGCTGGGGGAGCACACTGGCTCTGGGTGGGTTCAGCCTCCGCTTCGGGCCCTCACCCGGTCCATCATCACGGCTGGGAATCTGCACATCCACAGGAACACTTGTCCAAGACGAAGGAAGGAACGGCAGCCCAGCTCAGGCCACACAACAGCCCACCTCGCTTAGGAGCTCTGGTGGGCCTTGCCTCTTCCAAGCCCGGCCCACTTCGCCAGCGGCAGCTTCGCCCCTTCCCCGAACAACCCGCCCCGAGAGCACGCGGGCTGCCCCAGGGCTTGCCTCCCACAGCAGGCGGCTGTGTCAGGAGGCGCGGGCAGCCGAAGCGCGTCTTGCCGCTCGGGACCCACTGACCAAGCCCAGGAGGTGGCGTGCTGATGGGGCGGCCACTGCCTGGCCACCCCGTTCAGGAAAAAATGGGTCTCCAAGGAGCACAGAATGCTTGGCAAGCTTTTAAAAGCCACTTAATAGTGGGGACTTTGCGCTTGCAGGGCTCTGGAAAGGGAAGCACTGCCTTGGCGACACCCCGGGGGAACCTGCTGTCGGAGGACAGGGGCTGCCGACCCTGGACAACGGCCCAGGTGTTCTCCGCGGTGTCCCTCTGACAGCCGTCGCTCGGAAAGCTAAGATGCGCGTCACAAAAAGGGGCGGTGGGATTCAGGGCACGTTCTTCCTGCTTTCTGTTGTTGCTGCGATGGCCCTCAGGCGGAGGGACATGCTGCGCTTCTCCCGCACCCCACGCCCTTTTTTAGGGAAAACGATTTTCTTTGAAAGGGGAATATACCGCTTTTCACTAGAGACAAAATCTGTTTTCTAAGGGTGGCCAGCCAGTGGCAGCCCATCCATTGTGTCACCTGGGAGAGACTCTCACTGGTGGTCCGACTGGGGACTGTGAAAAAAGACATCTGAACAAACGGAAAGGGGGAAACACTGGGGCAAGCGGACAAAGGCAAGCCAGCCAGTCAGCGATCACAGTTGACCAGGCCTGCCACAGTGTCCCTGCGTGGGAGGGAAGGGCAGGCTAGCCCAAGGGGAGCGGGATCATCTGCTGGGTGCGCATCTCAACCCGCCCCCCCCCCCCCAGGATTATTGTAAGGACAGGTTCGTGCAACGTGCAAACACACGTGCCGAGAGTCAGCAGCGTCCTGGTAACAGGAAGCCCCACGATCTGGATGACCCCGCTGGCAGTTCCAGGCAGGCGTTCGAGAACACGGGGGACGGACCTGATCCCTGCGGAGCCCCACGTGGCTGGCTGCGTGGTGCTGGGCAACCCTCCCAAAATGGCTCCCGGGGCAGGAATGAAACCACCGCGAAGCCATGAAATTACAAGCGACTGGAACGCAAGCGCGAGGGAAGGGACTCTGCCTTGAGAGAATGCAGCCTTTCCCTTCCGTCGAAAAGATGCCTCCGGAGGCTGCAATCGTGAGCCAGCTGGCTGCGAATTAAGTCTTGCTGAACTCAGTGAGACTGAGTTCTGAGGAAACATGCTTAAAATCGGGGAGCGATATAAATGTTGTTAGAACAGTATGAAAAAATAATCAAAAATGAGGAAAGCCCTTAGGAACAGAAAACGTGCGTTTCTTTCTGATCTTGTAGTTCATCTGGCAAAGGTGAATTTTGGCTTTCACATCAGCAAGGTGACCATACCTGAGTGCGCAGCAGTTCCTCTTGGAGCTGATCCAGCTTTTCTTTGTCCGAAACCTGCAACAGCCAAAATCATGAGCGTAAACATCATTTATTATATATTCGGGAAACAAGAGAGCCACAAACCGGGAGCTTTAAGAATCATCCCTTTCTGAAGACCCATCCAAACAGGTTATTTTGCCAATTGATGGCTTGAGACAGAGAGGGAGTTAAAGGCAGGGTCTCCTTTGTAAGAGCAGACTTAACGCCAAGAACCTCGCAGGACACAAACTGGCCGCATCCCCAGAAGCAACTCGCCGTGATGAGCACATATTTTCTTGACATGAAGGGGCATGTGGACAGTCCCCTGCCTCCCGCCGCCTTCAACAACGCAGCCAGGCACTTTTAGCAACCTTTTTGCACCGGCACTGGCAGTAAGGGGTTAACCACTTGCGTTCCGGGGGGAACACAGAGCACCGATTTCCGAGGTGGGACCTCCTACGGTAGCCCGTCCTTTGCCTGATATTCACACCAGGCAGGCCTCCGTGAGTTTCGGCTGGGGCAACACCACACAGACGTTACAGCAGCAAACCATTTCTAGGGTGCCATATCGTAAAAGTCTGGCTCCATTTATGCAAAGGAATTGTGGCGAAATCTCCTTTCTAAGCTTCGGAAAGGCTGACTGCAAATGAAGAGAGAGGCAGAATATGTGCCTTGGGGGCAGAGAAGGAACTACAGGCTGCAGCCACTCTCTCGTGCAAGGAGCAGGAAGAGGCCTCTCCACACGGAGGAACCCCGAACGAGCAAGTCCCCGCTGCCATTCACCCACGTGAGATGACGGAGAGCGGAAGGGGCAGTGGGGACACGGCCAGCGACCCAGAGGCCCTGGACGGGCTGGAGGCGGCACGTGCCAGGGCACCTCCGAGGGACGACCGTGCAGCTGGGCAGTCCGAGCGGGACTTGACGCCGGGCGCTGCAGCCACATGTTTGCACTGAAAGGCTCAGGCCGAAGCGATTAAGAACGAAGCGCTGCAAGCAAATGGGACACAGCCGGCATTTTATGAGCCCGACTGAGCATTCTCAAAAACCTCAGAACTAGGTGTGCGAAACTGGCCAGCTGGTTATTTTCCCATGTAATTTTGTATACAAATTGTGGGTATATTTTCCAGCCTGACTGAAGGCTACCTACACAACCCAGGAAAAGTCTTCATATTTTTACACAGTTCTATTTCCTAGGGGCTTTTGAAGCACGCTGTCCTTTCTGGGAACAGTTTGTCCACATGCCAGAGATCAAAGTGCGGCGTGCCCATCTCCTGTCTAGGGCCGTACCGTGTCCCACGAGGCTCACAAAGGGGCCCGGCAGAGGCCGGCCTACGCACTGGCCCCGACTGCGAGCACGTCTGCAAACTGCATGGCGCAGGGGACGGGGAGGCGTTGCCTCGAGAAGGGAAAGCCGGCAGAGGTGCCCCCATGCTCTGCCAAGGGTCTGCAAGCCCGCCCTGTGGAGCTGCTCTGCTCTCTGCTGCTCTGGGGGCGCGCGTGAGTGGCAGGGAAGGCGACTTCGGCCAAACACCAGGACTGGCTTCCTAGCGGTAAGTTTTCAGCAGCAGAGGAGGCGGCCCTGCGAGGTGGCCGGCCTCCTTTGCTGCAAAGGCACCGAGAAGGGGTTGAGCTGCACAGCCTCCGAAGCCCCCTCCAGCCCCCGCCTCCCAGCCCTCTGCACCTGTGCTCCCCATGAAGGAGGCAGCGAGGAAAGAGGCGCCAGCAGTGGCAAGAACCGTCTTTCCCGCTGTGAAGCGTGTGTGAGCCTGGGTGGAATTCCGGTTCTGTGGTGGTGGCAGCTCTGCTAACCCAGACGGGCTTTGGACCAGAGACAGCCATGGAGGCAAACGTGCCAGGCACTGGCCCGGCACTGTGGATCAATCCATTTTCCCCACATCAAGAGAGGATGCTTCCAGACTATCAGTAGGTTCAAAGGGATCATGGACAAAGCTCTTCTAAGCGGAGCAGGACCGCGGTTCTGGTCGGTAAATCCCAGGAAAATGTAAGGCAATTAAAACACAGTCATCACACATGAGAAACGCTAAAACAGTTGGAAGTAGCTCTGGATTACTGTGCAATGATCACAAGCCGTGGAAGAACAGACCGTCAGCGAGCTGTTGGACCAAACAAAGCAGCCCCGCGGGTCCTGCTCGCCTGGGAAGGCTCCTCTGGAGGCAGCCTCCCTGGGGCCTGTTCCAAGCACGGCCCTGGAAGGACTGTCCTGGACATGCCTCAGAGCTGTTCCTGCCAGCTCAGGCCAGGGCCGGCTGGGCAAGGGAGCGGCCGCAGCCACGGGGCTCCCCGAGTGGCTGTGGGCCAGGCGTTGACTCCCGGCCCATGGGGCTGAGGTTGTGAGCAGAAAATGGAGAGGCGGAGGAGGGCTGGGCCAGCCACCCCGGGGCCCTTGCAGGAAGTGCGGCCTGCAGTGCGACTCGACAGCTGTTCGGGGGCAGGACCCTTCAGTGCTGTCCTCGAAGCGAGGTGCCCACCTGCCCCAGCTAGTCTCCGAGGGTCCTTTCATGGCAGGATCCCCTGACTGGGCACAGGGGAAGAAATCGCCACAGGGGGTCCACCGCTAAGCGCAGGGTCTGCCCCACTGAAAAACAGCAGCGCTAAGCAGGCCGTGGTCGATTAGAGGAAGGGTCCGTCCCGCCCGGCATCCTGTCCCCACGGGGGCCACACAAGCGCCTGTGGGAGTCCCAGCTGCAGCACACCAGGGGGCAGCACCCTCCCGCTCTTGCTCGCAGGGCGTGTCCAGGGCCCTGCTGGAGCTCCCAGGCCCTGCCCCGGGAACCAGCCACCCTGCACGGGCTCCCAGAGGAGCAGAGGCATCCCTGGCAGATTATGCTGGGGAGCTCTGGCCAGCCTTCATAAGAAGCTGCCACGAGTGCTTTGCATCCGTGTGAGCAACCTCGGGAGATCTGTGCACCTCTCCGATCCCCACACAGCCCCAGCATGGGTGCCAAAATGGGGGTGGGGGGATTAAAAAAGTAGTACCTGCAGCAGCCGTGGAATGCCAAGAGGATTAATATTGGCTTGTTTCACAGAATCACAGAATAGCAGAGTTGGAAGGGGCCAGGAAGGCCCTCAGGTCCAACCCCTGCTGTTGCAGAACACCAAGTCACACCATCCCCCTCAGATGGCTGCCCAGTCTCTTTCTGAATGTCCCTAGTGTGGGGGAGCCCCCCACCTCCCCAGGCAGCTGGGTCCACTCTCGTATTGCTCTGACAGTGAGGAAGCTTTTCCAGATCTCTAGCCTGAATCCTTAATCTGTTGCAACTGTTGAATTGATTCTTCCGTGTCCTACACTCTGGTATGAGCATCTGACCCTCTGGGCACGCCGTATCAGACACAGGTGCCAATGCATTTGCAAAAGGGGTGGGGTTGCAACTGGGGGTTGCTTGCCATGCTGAAAATATAAACCCCTGAAACAGACGGAGATTTGCTGGCCCAGGCTGCAGTCGCATTTCCTGTAGACAGCCTGGACTCTCCCACAGATGGATGTCTCTTGTGGGCAAACGCAAACCTACAGACATGGTTTCTATTTGTCCCCGGGAGGTGGCTGAGGCCCCGTTGGGGAGGGTGTTCTAGGAGAGGCTGGACGTGCACATGGCAGGCATGTCGTGAGCAGAGCCGGCTGGAGCCGGGGGTCAATCCAGACAAGATGGAGGTCCTGTTGGTTGGCGGATCGGGCTTTGGAGAGGGTGGATTTGACCTAGTCGTGAATGGGGTTGCACTCCCTCTTAGGGACAAGGTCCGCAGCTTGGGAGTGCTCCTCGACCCGGAGCTTTCATTGGAAGCTCAGGTGACAGTGGTGGCGAGGAGTGCTTTCCTTCAGCTTCGGCTGATCCATCAGCTGCGCCCCTACCTGGAGTACGACTGCCTGGCGACGGTGACACACGCGCTGGTGACTTCCCGCCTAGACTTCTGTAACGCGCTTTACGTGGGGCTTCCCCTGAAGACAGTCCGAACACTTCAATTGGTGCAAAATAGAGCTGCCAGGTTGCTGACGAGGACGGGGCGTTATGATCACATGACTCCAGTCCTCCGTCAGCTTCACTGGCTTCCCATTGAAGTCCGGGCCCAATTCAAGGTGTTGGTGATGACCTATAAAGCCCTTAACAGCTTGGGTCCTAGTTACCTGAAGGAGCGCTTACGTCCATATATGCCCGCCCGCCCCTTGAGATCTGCGGGAGAGGCCCTTCTCCAGGAACCCTCCGTGAAGGAAATTAGGAAGGTAGGTACTCGGAGGAGGGCTTTCTCTGTGGTGGCGCCAATCTATGGAATGTGCTCCCCAGAGAGGTCCGCCTGGCGCCGTCGTTATTTGTTTTTCGGCACCAGGCGAAGACCTTTTTATTCAAGCGTCATTTTAATTGTTAACAGTATTTGCTTTTATCTGGCCAGGGCGACTTCTTTTATATTATTTATTTTATATTGTTATTTTTATATTCTTATTTTTGTACTTTATCTTATGTTGTGAGCCGCCCTGAGGCTTCGGCGAATGGGGCGGCATAGAAATGTTTTAATTAATAAATAAATAAATAGATAGATAGATAGATGGCCAGGAGGCCCCTTCTGGCTCGAGCAGTTTCTATGCTTCTAAGTGAAATCAAGCACCAGCCCTTCCCACAAGCAGCAGCACTCTGTGATCTAAATTAAATCACCAAAATCAGCATATTAAAAGGGAGTGCCAAGAGGAAGCTGAATTAATCAGGGTTCTTAGGAACAGTTAATTGCCCGCAGGGCGCCAGGGCCCAAAAGCACAGTTCAGTGAGGGGTTCATTCCTGGGAGTCGAATCACGGGGTCTGATTGAGGGGGGGGGCAAGAAGCGTCCCGCATCACCGAGTGCCTTCTGAAGCCATCACCTTTCGTTTCTGTTGGGCAGCCCCTGGGCCAGATTGGTCGGCGGCTCTGCGCGCCTCCTCTTCGTGCTGATGGATTTGCTGCTGCAAGAGAATGAGCTCGCCAAGGAGACCCTGCCGCAAGTTCGTAACAGGAAGGAAAAAGATGGAGGTGAGGGGAGCAGTAATGACAAATCAAAGGGCGCAACACAAAGACGGGGGCAGACGAAGGGGCCGCGATGTGGCTCACCCAGCACCCCCTCGAGGGATGCACGGAGCGCAACAACGCCAAGCGCCCCGGGAACTAGGCACCTTTAGGGTTTACAAGCAAAGACGCCTCAAACAGCTGCGTCAAGACAAAAACGCTTCGAATTGTCACAAATGAGGCCTATGAAAACATCAGACAAAAAACGGAAGTTGTCTGGAGAGCACTGAAAATGTTCATTTCTGCTTTTCCATTTTTATTAATGCTCAGTTCTGTCACTCGAAGTTACCAGAAGGCTCTGCGTAACACGGAAAGCCAATCCTCTCTCCTCTCACGTGCCAAGAACTCGCCTGCAGCCTTCGCACTACAAAGGCACCTCTTCACTGCAGATCAGTCAGGCCAGGGATATACACAAAGCACCCGTGCGGCTGACCCAGGCTGTGCAAGCATGCCCCATTTCCATTCCTCTGGATGCTGTCCAACAGCCACATGGCCAGAAACCGCCTTTAGAAGGTCCAGCAAGGAACATGGCATAAAAAAGCACAGAAACAACCAGTTACACATGAAACATGAAGTTACACCACTGTGGGAAGCCCAAAAAAGGAAAATGGCAACACAATCCCAACCCAGTAGGATCAGAATTGGTGGCACCATAAAAACGGCAGTGGACATTCTCATTCCACCACAGCAAAACCAGCTGAATGAGCGCAATGCAAAAAAGTGGTATTTTTCACTGGTGACTGAGCAGACACCTGTTTTCCATCCAAACTGCCCGGCTGCCTAACATCACGCAGCATTGTTCTAAGAGTTCCATTTCTGCACAGCGTTTTACGGAGATTATCAGCATAAGCGGCATTAGGTGCCCGTTATTAATACTCTGGGCCGGAAGGAGATCCTGGACTGAAGAGGCAACAGGAGGACCCCAGGTGGAGGACAGAGCCAGCGGGGCAGGACCCGGCCGGCCAGCACAGGGTGACCGCAGCGGGGCTCCCACAGTCTCACGCAAACGACCACAAAGAGGTGGCCTCAGCGCGACTGAAAGGCAGCCCTGCTCCTTGATGCTCGGATCCCTCTGCAGGGCATGCAGCACGGCTTTGGAAAGCTCTGGAGGGTCCCTCCAGAGGAGCTGCCCGTTATGCAGCCCCTGCAATCAGGTGCCAGGAGTGGGGCAGCCACCTCGAACAGCTGCCAGACTCAGGCAGGCAGAGGCAGTCATGCCACTCTGGGAAGGGCGCAGGACATGGCAAGGCAGCCCAGCCAAGCACCTCGGGGCGAACGGCCATTCTTGTAAACCAGACACGAACGAGGCGCAGGCTGCGGGCAGCATCCTGAGCTCTGTCTGGCCCATGGTCTGGACGCCTGGGCCTCCTGCATTCTGTCCCTAAACGGCTCTTCAGCCCTTCCCGGCCAGAGACTGGTCTTCACGTTAAACTGGCAGCCCACCCTGGTCGGCCTCTCCTGCCCACCATGCTGGCATCGCGCTGGGGAAGGAGCTCGGTGCTGTGGTGGCCACCCACGCCCCCTCCGCTCTCGCGGCTCCTCTGGTGGGGCGCCCAGGTCCGCCCACCGCTGGGAAAAGACCGCGGCAGAATCACGCTGCTGGCCTGGCCGCGCCCACGGGTGAGATGGGCGAACTGGCAGCCAAGTCTCTGTGGGACGCGGGCGGAGGACTGGGGATGTTTCAGGGGGACGGACAAATTCTCAGTAGCGCTACTAAATCGGGGCCCGGCCAGCAGCACTGGCGAGGGGCCTCTACGTGCGGCTCTGCTGTGGCAGCGGCAACCGCAACCACAGCACAGGGAGGCTGCCGCCAAAGGGCAGGCCGCTGCTCACGCCCCCCGTGCTATCCACGGAAAGTGCCACTCCTGGCCGACCAGTCCCCCCAAGCAGAGTGCCGGAGGGAGCCACGAGCAGCGCAGTCACGGGAATCGCGGCTATTGCCGAGGGGGAGGCCCGAGCGGACCCTGCTGCCCCCCCCCCATCCTCCCACCACTGAGCCGACCGGCTGGGCAGCAGGAAGGAGGGCGGCGCTCCCAGGCTGCTGGGAGCCGCCGCTGGTTGCCCGCCTGCGGCACAGAAGAATCTATGGAGCAGCTCTCCCCCATGAAGGCGACAGAGGCAAGCGGGCCTTGCCTGGCTCCCCTGAACACACTGCAAGCCGCCTAGGGAGGCCTCGGCAAGGGCAGGAGGCCTATGACCACATGCAGATGAACAGAACGGCCAGTCAGGCACAGCTCTCGAATTTAGCTGGGCCGGTTTTCCAGGCGAGGTTCCTCAGGCCTTGCAGATCAACCAGCAACAGCGTAACTGCCGCTGCACTCAGTCTGGAGGTGTGACCATCAACACGCAACTGAAGGCTTTTTTAAAAATACTGATTTACATAGACATGAATGCAGCTTGTCCACCAAAAAGATATTCAAAGCGATTCCAGTATCAAAAGGGGATACACAGAAACAACGCAGAGCGGAAGACGATCCCGGCCACAAAAGCAGCTTCCTTTGCCAGCGCGAGCAGACGCGCTGCAAAGCGCGCCGTGCGGGGAGGCGTGTGCCGCACGCCTGCAGTTGCGCCGTTTCAAGAGCGCGGGCCGGGCGAATGCCCCACAGCAAGCACCCCGAGAGGCTCACTCCAGCTGCCGGCCCTCCGCGAAGAGGAGTGCGGCACCGCCGCCCCGAGCGGTTCTCGCCTGTCCGTGCCCGAGCTGGCACGGCCGCTGCTTGCTCTTGGGATCCTGGCCACGCATCTCGGGGAAGCCCTCCCGGGGGCCCAGCCGGCACGGCAGCTCTGCTCCACGTTCTGGCCACGTGCAGCAGCACGCCCCCAGCTGCTCCGCCGTGCCCGAGGCGACACTGAGCTGAAACCTCGCTGAGAAGAGGACGCTCCGGGCTGGCTGGCTGATCCATCCGCAGCTCTACTGGGAAGAACCACACACGCCCACGCGAGCACGCAGGGGGCGCCTGCCTCCTCCCCACAGGGCGCAGCACTTCTAGGAACAGCACGTGGCCCCCTCCCGCTGCCGAGCCGCAGCACAGGGCACAACCCCCCTCCCTTCGGGGCCACTGCCCCAGCTTCCAGGACTGCCAAGAATGTGGGGTCGCAGGCCCTGGGTCCTGCCTTCCTCCCCCATCTTCTGGCGCTCAGGCCGAGCCTTGGAAACGCCTCCTGGCTGCCACTGGTAGAGCGATGGTGGAAGCCCCTCCTCCGGGCCCCCAACCCTGCCCGGGCCAGGTCCCGGGGCCCAGGCCGGCATTTAGCAGCATGCGCTATGCGGTGCAGGGCGGCAGCGATGACGCTGCACTGGGCACCCGGGCAATCTGGGCCCTGGGCCCCACTCGGCCCCCAAGTTCACTGGGTGATTTCGGGCCAGTCACCCACCTTCACCCTCACCCTCACCCTACCTTATAGGGTTGTTGCGAGAATAAAATGGAGGGGAGGCCTATGTAAGCCACCCTGGGTTCCTTGCAGAGGAAAAAAAGCAGGATAAAAAGGGTACAGTAAATGATGATTCAGCAGGAGGAAAGTATTTTTAGTTCATTATACACCGTTTTTGATATTTTAATGGGTAACTTGACCTTATCAATTTTATAACTGCGTATCGAAAGCATTGTTATCCATTTCAGCAGCAGGGCACGTTAGAAAATGAAATACACTGGTTAACATTTTGTGAGCAGGATGTGAATTACAGATTAGAAATTTAAACAACATTTTCTCTTGACATAAGAGCGGCTCATCATGACAGGATAAGAAATCTTGACTTAGACTCAGAAGAGTAAAAGTTGCCATGTTTTGTGTGCCTGGATTTTTCAGGCACTAATTTTCAACCTATGAGAAAACACGCCCAAACCTTAGTCCAGGACGGGCAGCTTGTGGCCCCTCCGATGCCTTGCCCTACGCCTCCCATCAGCCCTCGCCACTGACCACGCCGGGCGGGCGGGCGGGCGGGCCAAAACCCCCGCAGGGCCACAGGTTGTCCACGGCTGCCGCAGCCCTGGCGCAGCTCGGCTCTCGCCTGCTCAAGCACAGAACTCACCTTCTTGTACTGCTGCTCGCTCCCCTGGTCTGTGGCCCTGAATGCTGTTTCCCCCGAGGAGCCTGGGAAGGAAGAGGAGGGATTCACTCAACGCAGTACGCAACTTGACTAGAGCAAGGGCAAGCTGCATGACTAAAGGAATCCTCTTTTGTGCAACTCAGGCTCCTCCCGCTCTCGAGGGATCTCTTCCGTGCGGCACAAATGTGGCCAACGCAGCCCGGCCCTGAGACGGTTGGGGCAACGCAGCGTTTCTGCCAACGGAGCCAGAATGAACATGGAGGACCACCCCAGCGCAAGACTCTCCACTGCAGGGCCGGGCTGCACGGACCCGGTGCCTGGAGGTGGCGGACACCGGACCGCCCTGGCACTCTACGCAAGCTGTCGGAAACTCTGCAGCAAAATGCTTGCCTTTACGCAGGCAGCTGATTGTGCTTAAATGAAAGATACACAAAAGCGCCGATTCCCCACTTTCCTCTGAGGACTCAGTTTACTTGCATCAAAGCAGAAAATGAGCAGAAGGCATTAACACCCAGAAAGCTTTCCTGCTTGGCAGAACTGGGTTTAGCAAGGACGGCTCCACGGTGTTCCCCAAAACAGTTCCAACTCCTGCCTACACGTGCTGGCATGGTTTTAGTTGCCATTTTGAAAATGGGGAGCAATGTTAAGGGACAGAAAAAAGTGCTTGTTACACACCTAACAACAGAAGTAGATCAGAAGCTCCTATGACTTCACTAACCAAATTGTTACCTGCAGAAAACCAGCAAAAGAGGGGAAATAAAAATTATAAATACACACAAATGGCAAAGCAACTATGAGACCAAAGGGCCTCGCACATGGCAAGGGCCACACAGACACAATGGCAAACTTTCCAAACATGGTGTGCCAACAGATCCAGACGGAGGGGTGGGAAATAATTCACAGCGAAGTCAACTCTCTTTTTTGAGAAAACCAAAGTGCATAGGAGGGTCTCATCTACTTGTCGTTGTGGGTTCGATGCGTAAGTGCATTCCTTCCGTTCAGGCTCCTTGCAGTTTTTCTGTGCAAGGAGGAATTTGCACAGACAATGCAAGCAGCCCGGCAGGATGCCTGGGCAGAAGACTGCCCGCTGCCGCCGCATCCCAGCACCGTACTGACAGCAGCTGTCAAGCCCACGAGTCGCGAGGCGGCAGCCAGGCGGCAGCCAACTGGACAGCTTTAGCAGGAAACTGGACGCATCCTGGAGGAGGCGGCCATTGAGGGCTGCTAGTCCGATGCCCACAGGTGGTCCCCAGGCTCAGAGGAAGGGTGCCTTATGCAGGCCAGTCCCTGGGGACCAAATCAGGAGGGGAGGGGAGGGGAGGGAAGAGACACCAAGCAGAGCCCTGCAAATATGGCCGCGGGGATGGCAAGAGGAGCGGCGTCAGAGGCCACGCCTGGGTGGCGGAGGCTCCAGCAGCCGCTAGAAAGCTACAAGGGCCCTTTGCTGGTGTGCGGCGCTAGCCTCAAGTCTTCACGCTTGTACCTACCCAGAACGCCCTCCCTGTGCATGGCGGAAAGACATACGCGAAAATGGCAATTCAGCCACAATTGCGCTATACAGTAGAAAGTGCACCAATGCTCAAAAGATGGCTGCCAAAGAGCGGAAGCATTGTGAGCTGAAACACGCTCAGAAATAGCGAGGTCAAGAGAGACCCCTGATGCCTGACGTTGAACTAGGCGTCCAAAGGCGCCACCTCTTCCAGCAAAAATGGGCAAGGCAAACAGGCAGTATCCCAGGAGGCTCAGGCTGGCTGGAACGGTGAACAGCAGCTCTTCATGCCGCAACGATCTGTTGCAGGTCTTACTCATACTGACAGTTACCCTAACCGACTCGCTGAAGAGTAAGGGGATTAAAAGATCACAAACGGCTCCTTCGCAGTGTGGCTTTGTCAAGCCACACAGGATAAAAACTCCCTTACCTGGCGTGAAGAAGCCTGTCAGTGCACCGAAGCTCTCGCCAATCTTGTCGAAGTCAGGCATCAGCTTGGCCAGGTCTTCTGAGTCCGGCAGTGCCTTTCTAAGCTTTTCTAGAAAAAGAGCAGGAGAGGATTAGTCACCCCTGGATTTTTTTGAGAACCACCGCTGAGGACTGCCTCAGAGTTTCCCAGGTTCAGCTCTTCAGTGCGGAAGCTCGGGCTTGTGTGGAGCACATGTCAAGGAACTGCCATAAAGAGTGTCTGTGTTGCGTTTTAGGATGAAACACAATAGCATTAGGGTACCTGGAGCATCCTCTGAAAATATGGAGGAAGAGCTGCATGACTATTTGAAGCCTAGCAATCAGTGTGCAAGTGCCGCGCTTCACCAGCAAGTGCAAGGACTTAGCTTGGCCCCACGAGCAGGCTGCACCTCCCGTCCGCTCACTGAAGCTCTCCAGTCCTGCCAGCAATCTAAGCTGGTTTCTCAGCAGCCAGACACCATCTCGTTGATTCCAATTCCTTATCCCTCTCATGGAATACGCCCACCCTGGGCCGGGCTGGGTCCGCAGAAGCCCATTCCCCAAGTCCTGGAAGGGTGACTACTGGAGAAGGCAGTCCTGCTTGAAAGCTCTTGGTGGGAGGGGCCAACAGGAGGCTGACCAAAGCCAGTGACAAAATCAGGGGCTGGAATCAGGCAGGGGGAAGCCGAGACTCTCGGGTCGGGAGGCCCTGTGATTTGCGCCAAGGAAGGAGGCTGGGCCTGCACAAAGCCCCTCCTTGCCCCGGGAAGGGCAGAGGTCTGCGGAGCAGCAGCAGCAGGCCCAGCCGGAGCAGAGGAGGGAGCGCCCCTCTCTCGCCAAGCCATGGTTCTCACCCTCCGATGGCAGCCTTCTCCACCTGGTGCCCTCTGGATGTTTTGGAGGATAGTTCCCAGGATTCCTGAATACTGGACATGCTTTTTGGGGCTGATGGGCACTGAAGGCCCAAGGATCTGAATCTATCAAATGGGACCATCATTCTGTGCTTGCGCCCACCTTCTTTCCCTTCCTCCATCTGCTCCCCTTGAAAATAATTCAGCCTTCTGAATTGTCCAGACTTGGTTGTTTCATGGCCAGGCCCTTTCTTTCAGGGCAGGAATGGGTTGCTACTCGCACGGTCCTGATGGCCAGCGCGGCTCAGGCGAGCGGCAGCCCACTGGCCCCTGGAGTCTCTCTGCCCCCCACTCTTTCTAGGGTTCTTGCAAGCACAAGCTCCTTTGAGCTTTGGAAATGTAAGGTCATTTTTCAACATAATGGATGAGCTTGAAGTTCCTTCACCAAATATCCATCATGTGCAAAGGGTTGGGTCCAATGTCATTTCTAGTTAGAGCGCACCCACAGAGGTGAAATGAATGGGGCACCGTGCGGCCCCATGATGCGCATTTTGGCCTGGCAACAAGAAAAGAACCAGGCAGTCTGAAGCGACAAAAAGCCCTTGCTGCCTTCTGAAATAGTCAGAGGTTTTCCTGGGAAGATAGAATGATTATGCATTTTCCTCAGTACATCTGAAAGTCAAGTGCATTACCGGCAAAATGGAACTCATCACCCACCAAAGTCAATGTACTCCTCAAGTTCCCATACGAAGTCTGGTATAATCCACTTGTACTCCTCGAGGTCGGGCAGCATGTCCTTCCACTGGTCAAACGTCTAAGGTAAACAGAAAGACATCAATAAGTGTCGAATAAGAGCAGAGTGCAGGACGAAAGGGGGCGCCCATGCTTTCCCTTTCTCCGGCTTGGCTATGGATCCCTGCAACATCCAGGCCTTCTGCTCCATTCCAACTACAGATTAAATAATCCACTGGTGCCGATTTATTCTTAAATGCCCTCTTTTGAGGCTGGGGACCCTCTGCAGAGCTGGTGGTACGTGCACACTGACGGAGGGGAAGGCCAACAAGGCGTCTTGACTTGGGATCTCGGGCTTTTCGTGGGACCCGGCTCAGCTGAGGCGGGTGGTTTGCCTCTCGCTGGATTCCACGCAATGGCTGTTGGTGCGCTCTGGCGGAATGCTGAAGCCGTGTGGGACACGCCACCCAACGGGTCAGCACTCGGCTGAGAAGGAGCACTAGCAAGTGAGAAAGGATACCAGGAACGCAAAGGTAACACCTTCAGCGATCTAAGCTGGCAACTCCTGAGTAATGGTTTGTTATTTATGCTTTTTGCCACCAACATGGCCCGGGACCCACTCGCTTCAATTGGTGCAGGCCTCCGTTTCAGGGAGTAACCGTGGAAGAGAGACAGCACTACAGTTCCCGCCGCATCTCCAACCTCTCAGCATGACTCAAGACCCCACTTCCACCATTTCTTGTGCCCAAGCGGGAGCAGGTGCTCCTGCCCGGGACAGCAGCTGAGGGAAGCCCCTCGTCCGTGGAAACGGCAGCGGCACCCCCCCCCAAAGGCCCTCCCCGCTTCTGCCCACGTTTGGCACTGAACAAAAGGAAGGGCGAGCACCCTTTCCTCGCTCACGCTGTGGCTCCACCGATGGGCATGAAAAGGCGGGGCACTTGTGGCACTCCGGAGGTTTTGAAGCACCTCTAACCATCATCCCTAACCACTGCCCAGGCAGGCTGGGGAGGATGGGAGTGGCAGCCCTGATCACCTGGAGAGGCTGGCCTAGAGAAATCAAACTGGGCGTTCTGGCATGCAGCTCCAAGCCAACATTGTTCTGCACTGGCAAAATAAGGAGAGGGCAACATGGGTGGCCAGAGCACAGAGGAACGCAAGGCAAGGGAGGAGACAAAGAAGAGTGCGCTGAGAAGCAGAACGCGGAGTGTCCCATCCCCCAAGAGCACCTTTATTCCACCCAGCCTTTCATGGGACACTTGCTAGCAATTTTAGAAGCCCCCACCATTCTCACCCTCATGGGATCTGTGAAGGCTCACTTTGCACGATGAGAGTCTGCTCTGCGGATAAAACAGCAGTATCCTCTGCCCTGCCGAATCACTATTATTATTGTGGTCACCGTTATCCAACGTAGCAGCATTTATATCCCGCCTTTCTTGCTCTTGTGAGAAACCCAAGATGGCGCTATTTATCTACCTCACAACAACCACCCTGTGAGGTAGGTTGGGCTGAAAGTAAATGACTGGCCCACAATCCCCAACCCAGCGGAGCCAGAGCCCAGCTCTCCCGTCCAGTGCCCTCACCACCAAACCCCACTGCCTCTCCTGAGCACGTCACATGACAATCCTAGACAGTGCCAGCCCCAGAAGCAGTGAGCGCACGGGGCAGACGACGAAGAACTTCTGCTACCGCAGAGCTCGGTACCTTTTTGGCAGTGTAGCCACCGCCCACGGCCGATCCTAGGAGGATGTAGCGAAGTTTTAGAAGCCGCGATGCCACTCGGGCCAACCAAAAGTTCCTGTGGGGTTGGAATCCATGCCGCACAAGGAGCCGGGTGCTGCGCAAGGGCAGATGCCGCAGAGTGGAGAAGTGCTGCACCGAGGCCCACGACGGAGGCCTTTGGGCCTTGGCAGTCGGACAGCAGGAATGACGAACACTTCGGGAGACCAGATGCAGCTTCCGCAGGGGGGACTTCCCCTGGGTTCTGTAGGCCGTATTTGCCAGGTGTCGACAGACGATGCTGAGGGAGAGAGAATGCTTATGCATGCAGCGTCCTGGCCTTTGCCAGGACTCCAGGCTCCTGGAAGGCTCCCCTCTGCAGGGTGACCCAGTCGCCCATTTGGCACCCCCAGACTTCAACTAAGTGCAGAGCATGGCGACTTCTGCTTGAGGTGCAAGGAGAAGGTCGCCGTCATTCAGGGCCAGCTCCGTTTATGGTGACTAAAACAGCATGAAGTGAGCAAATCGTGAAACTTGCAATTGAAAACCAGCAATACATTTGTTGGGCCTCAAGTGATCAAGAACAGTGTCGGCTGCTTTTTCTGTGGGCGCATCACCATCGAGCTGCTAGATGTACGGCTCAGGACTTGAAAAAGGGCACAGGCAAACACAGTGCTTTTGCGACCACAGTGTGCCTTCTCTCTAGCCAGGTGAAGAGTGAGCCAAAAGCAGGCAAAAGGAAAACCTGTCAGGCGAAAGTCCTTCCACGTTTCCCCATCCTAAAGTGAAGGCTCAGCTCCTTCACTGTCCTTGGATCCCGAGGCAGCAAGCCGAGCATCTGAACAATATGTACTGCTCGGCGTGCCAGCTGCGACCCTTCTCGAACCAGCCTGACTTCGCAGCAGCTCTCCTTGCACGAGCCCCATCGCATTTTGACACTAGTGCAAAGTGCTACATAAGAAAGCCTGCACGCTTCCGCGAAACGGGTCAGCAGGGCTGCCACCTGAAGCAGGGCCTCAGAACCTCCTCATACTTGCTCTGAAAAGTCCTGCACTGGCTGCCAAACGCTTCCCAGGCTCAATTCCAGGGGCTGGTTTGGAGCTTTAAAGCCCCAGCTTGGTTACGGAAGGGGCCAAGGGGCCCTGAAGGGGCCTGACTGTCTTCCTATGAAACGGCCTGGCTGTTAAAGGCTCCAGGAGAGGCCCTGCTGAATGCACGAGGCTCCCCTGCAAGTTGGGGATAATAAATGAACGGATCAGCGCCTCGCTTCTGGCTCGGTCAAACGGCTCAGCCAGCGAGCCCGGTGATCCCCTTTGGGCCCTACCAGCTGCCCCGCAAAGCCCCCCGGTGCAGCAGGGGAGTGGGATGCCACCTCGGGGGGCACACGCAGGCGGGCTGAGCAGAGCCCTGCAGCGGCCGCCGCCTCCGCGGCACAGCGGGCCAGCCCTGGGCACAGCCCGCCCCTGCAGCCGCCCGCGATCGGGCCTCCCCGGTGCTGCGCGGGGCGGGCCAGGCCCCCGGCGGAGCGCCGCGCCTCGCGGGCCTGACGAGGGCTCGGGCGTGACCCCGAAGCCTCCGCAGCCGCCGAGCGCCGCGGCGTGCGGGAGCGGCTGGCTCCTCGGGGGCCCCGGCGGCGCGGCGCCCC